ACTTGGGAGGCTGAGGCAAGAGACTCAATTGAGCCCAGGAGTTGGAGGTTGCTGTGAGGTGTGGAGTTGTGACACCATGGCACTCTACCCAGGGTGACAGCTTGAGGCTCTGGCTCAAAAAAAAAGAGCGGTCTACATATTAAATCCATTTTTCTACCTCTTATTAGGAGAGGAAAAAAAGAAAAACCAACTTCATATTTTCCTTACTATAAATACAAACGAAATTTCTCACCCAGAACTTTATAAATATGTGTGACTTTTATCCAAATTTGAGGGGTGGGGAGGAAGGGAGGAAAAGAAAGAACGGAAGAGAGCAAGAATTTTTTTTTTCTCAGCCAAACCTTCATAAATAAAAACTGGATGTCAAAAGAAAAGACCCTGTGTTGCTTTGAGCCCAAGAGTTTGAGGTTGCTGTGAGCTAGGACACTCCAGCACTCTACTGACCGCAACAAAGTGAGACACTGTCTCAGAAAAAAAAAAAAAAAGAAAGAAAGAAAAGGCCATATGCTTTCAAGTTTTCACGTGGAAAGAAAGGTTTCTCTCTCCACACAGTACAATGGCCACACTGTATTGAAACACCTGAATGCTCCACTTAAGCCATTTCTCCAGCAGGCAAAGCAAGGCGCCTTCCCAAACAGCTCAGAGCAGAACGGAGGGACACAGTCTGCTCACTCTGCATCCGCGTTGTCTCAAGTCACCAAATAAAATGGACTCCCCCATAGAGTAGCCATTTATTTCCTTCTGACGTATGCTAAGGAATCTGGGAACCAACAGGAGTAGTGTGCCACCTTGTGAGCAGGAGAAGGGGTGCAACTTCCTGAATGACAGCCAACCCACAGCAAAAGCCACAGGGGAACGCCAAGACTAACTAGGGCCCCAGACTCCAGGGCACCGCAATCAGTGCACTTGGAAATCTGGGATGCAAAGGTACTTCTGTACCCTGGCCCAGGGCCAGCCTAGGCCACATCAAGGAATGACTGAAATGAGTCTTTACCCGACACATTTCAGTGTTGCTCGAAAAGTCATGACGTTGGAGTCAGTGAACCTGTTTCTGCCACTAACTAGGGAGCAAACTTGGGCAAGTCATTAATTCCTATGGGCCACTTTCCCAAATGAGAAAGGATGGTCAGGGGATTTGCAGAGGTCCGCCCAGTTCTAACCACTATGCTGGCATCGCTCCTCTAACAGAACATATAAAACCATCCACAAGTGGCCCTTAGCCTACTGTTTCTTGTCTAATACCATGTTTTATTCATTCATCCTTTGGAGAAACAATTTGCTACATGTTCCCCCACTCTGTCTTCATGTCCACACTATCCCAACCTAAAAAGTACTGGCTGGGACCGGGTGCGGTGGCTCACACCTGTAATCCTCACACTCCGGGAAGCCAAGGTGGGTAGATTGCCTGAGCTCATTGATTCAAGACCAGCCTGAGCAAGAATTAGACCCCTATCTCCAAAAAAAAATAGCTGATTGTCAGTGGAGGGTGCCTATGGTTTCAGCTACTTGGGAGGCTGAGGCAAGAGAAATGCTTGAGCCCAAGAGTTTGAGGATGCTGTATGCCACTCTACCGAGAGCAACAAAGCAAAGCTTTGTCTCAAGAAAAAAAAAGAAAAACCTCCTGACTGTTCCCCTAACACAGCAGGCTTTTTTGAACCTTTTTGTCTTTGCTCCTGCTGTTCGCTTGGATAGGAATGCCTTCCCACACCTTCCTCCAGAACAATTCATATTCATCTCAGTGCAAAAGCTATCTCCTTTCTGAAATATCCCAGGAAACTATGCTCCTGAGTTTTCCCAACATTTCATGCCTTGATCATAGTTTTTAGCACAAAGCCTTGAAATTGCATGCATACTTGTCTAATAAGATAATATCTTGATACACTCAGAAGTATACTTTTTTCTTCTTGAAATTTCCTTCATCTCTATACTTCCTCCACTAAGAAAGAAGGCTCTTTATATGGACTTCCCTCAACATAGGGCTATTACTGACAAACTAAACACAGAAAAGAAGTTCCATTGTACAGATTTGAGCATCAAAATAAACTTGTGAGATTCATAGCAAATTTGTGAAGCTGATGGCCATAGAAGATAGATTTTTTTTTTAGGTTTCAAGAGCCTGAACATTTTAAGTTCAAAAGTCAATATTTGGCCAGGCACGGTGGTTCATTCCTATAATCCTAGCACTCTCAGAGGCCAAAATAGGAGGATTGCTTAAGGCCAGGAGTTCGACACCAGCCTGAGCAAGAGCAAGATCCCATCTCTATGAAAAAAAGGAAAAATTAGCCAGGTGTGGTAGTGCATGCCTGTAGTCCCAGCTTCAGGTGGCTGAGGCAAGAGGATCACCTGAGCCCAGAGTTTGAGGTTGCTATGAGCTATGTGTATGATCACACCACCGCACTCTAGTGAAGGCAACACAGGGAGACCCTGTGTCAAAAAAAAAGAAAAGTTGATAATTATACCTTAAGCAAAAGATTCTATAGCAAAGAGATGAAGAGTCCCTCTCTCCCATTTCTACACCCAGTTACAGATTGGACAAGAAAGTAAGAAATGGGGGCCGGTCACCCGTTCCCTGCTCATCCTCAAGCCGCACTCAGGTGGCAGTGAGAATTTGCACCCCGCTTCCTCTCGGGAACCTGGAAGGCAGTGGTAATGCTGACAGATTCCAACTGGGGTACAGCAGGAGTACAGGAAAAAATGCAGCATCTGTATCTGGCCGTGAGGTGCACCTGCGGATGTCTGCGAGTCCCCGGGTGGCATGGAAGCCGGACCCGGGAAGCTTGTGTGCCTTCAGTAAGCATAAGAGGTGGGCTTAAGACAGCCAGTGACCCACAAAGGGCCCAGCAATCAGAACGAGGCAGATGTACCATGGCCTCGTGACCGGGAGCTGGGTGGACGGCTGCTCCCCGCCACCTTCCATATGCATCTCTGACTTTTCTTTGTATCCCCAGTGACCAGCACAGTGGCCAGTAAATGTTTGCTTTGTGAAATGCTGTAGCCAGGATGAAAGCAGCAAGATGTTACCAGGGAACCAGCTTCTGTCTATACCGTTCTCCTCAACTCTTTATGTAACCAATCTCCAAGCACCGTTAATAACAAAACAACTCCAAGACCAGTGCTCTAATGGGAAAACATGAAAAGCGAATATTAGGTATCTAGAGTTTCAAAGTCTCTAGGACTACCATGTCTGCGAGTACCAGCTGAGACTAGAAACCAACACCAAAGTATTTTTCAGTTATTCATAGTTTATTATATTAGTATTAGATATATTAATTTTTCTCCTATCATTTTACACATAATCTATTATGAAATCCAATACATACATACACACATTGTGATTATATTTTCTGCATTTCTGTCACATGAAAGAGACCCACTTTGCGGGCAGAGCCCACCGGGAATGGCAGTGGGCCAGGGTGATAGCATGGCTTGGAGGCGGTCATCACATAACACAGAGAGTGGGCCAAGGGCTCCTTCATTCTCCTCCATCCATTTTCAGGGCATTGGGACACTGGAACATCTCGGACTATCTAATGATTTTGAGGCACCTCAGAAAGTTAAGAGTATATCTAATACAGAGCTTTGAGGATTCCGTGCCAGTGTGGTAGAGAGTCCTGTGAAGTGGTGGGAGCTGGGATTGGACAGGACTTGCTGCAGAGTGCTGGGAAAGAAGTGGTGCTTCTCCAGCTGAGCTGATGAGCTGCTCTCAGGGCCCCACCTGGTAGACCCTGGGGGTGACGCAGGTGCAGCCGACCGTCACCAGCACCTTCTCCATCTGGAAGTAAACGTTGCAGCCCTCGGTCTTCCTCCGGAGGACCAGTGTCTCTCGCTGGATGGGAACGGAGTTCATGGACATGTCTTCCTTCCCCTCAGCATTCACACAGCCCAGGTACCTACACTTGGCCTGATAAATTACGAAGGGGTAGCGGTTGGGGTCCCTGTCGGCACTGCAGGGGGATCAAGCCAAAGCACAATGGTCAGGCAAAGGAAAGAACCAAGGATGAGCCCTCCCCGCCAGCGCTGGTCCCTCCCCTGCGGGGCACAGGAGGCTCCAGAGCTAGATGGCCTGGATCCGTACACCAGCCAGCTAATTAGCCCCTAAGCCTCCATTTCCTCAACTAGACTCTGAAGATTTCCATAGACGGTTTATTAATGTGATGACTGAGAACACTGAGCGATACAAAGGCATATGAAACACCCCACTGTGCGATGTTAGCATTCAACTCATGTTCCATCTTTTAGTTTCTCTATATTTGCGCTGTTATGACTGCGATTATTATTTATCCTTTGCCTGGAGACCGAACATCACTGGCAAGTCTCCCAACACACAGTCTACAAAGCTTGCTGCTGGGAAAGTAAAGGCCAAGCTCCCAAGATCAGGGCGTCTAGTGACTTCTCTCGGTTCCTCTCTCAATAGGCCCCTCTGCCTGGCCAGCGAGGTCAATGCAGCCAGCTTGCCCCTGTGCCCTCCCACTCACGTGGGGAGCTAGGCAGCAACCCCAGAAGCTCTTCTGATTGTCCCTGGAATCTGTTGTTACATTTGGAGAGTGTTTTGGTGGGGGTAGGGAGTACTTGGTGTTCTAGAACCTGTATCTTTTTTTTTTTTTTTTTTTTGCAGTTTTTGGCCAGGGCTGGGTCTGAACCCACTACCTCCAGGATATGGGGCCAGTGCCCTACTCCTTTGAGCCACAGGCACTGCCCTAGAACCTGTATCTTAAGACAAATTATAAGACTATACCCTGAGGTTCCCCACCTGACATCCCACTTCCCAAACTGGCCTTCACACCCCTCCCTCACTCTCACTGCCCAGGAGGCAGTGCCTAATGCGAGTGGGCTTCCCTGACCTGACATTCCAGTTTCCCTGGGTCCTCATGCACAGATTATACGAGGGCTGCTTTAAAGAATCCTCTCTTCCAACACAGAAAACCATTGTAAATTACAGCCTAGGACTGCGTGAAGTTGAAAAAGGCACAGAGTCGATGAGAATGTGGAAGTAAAATATCAGGACTACCCAACCACACATGCAGACCCTTCCCAAAGTGGGGAGAACACTATAAGCGCCCCGGTAAAATGGGATCACTCTTGTGAAGCGTGAATGTGAGGGCTTTCCTCTGTTATGTTTGGTATATATTCTAAAGTTTCTACTGCATGATTAGAATAGATTAACTGTTTTTTAAATTTCAAAATATTAAGGGTGTACAAAAGTTTTTGTTAACATGGATCCACTCCATGAAGCTAAAGTCAGCGCTGGGCACGGTGGCTCACACCTATAATCCTAGCACTCTGGGAGGCCAAGGCAGGTAAATTGCTTGAGCTCAGGAGTTCAAGACCAGCCCAGGCAAGAGCAAGAACCTGTCTCTACTAAAAATTGAAAGATTAGCTGGGTGAGGTGGCATATGCCTGTATTCCAAATTACTCGGGAGGCTGAGGCAAGAGGTTCACTTGAGCCCAGGAGTTTGAGGTTGCTGTGAGCTATGATGTCATGGCACCCTACCCAGGGCAACTGAGTGACACTTTGCCTCAAAAAAAAATTTTTTTTAAATGCTGAAATCAATGCTTTCAGTGAAATCAACATAGTTTTCAAAATCATGTAAAACTCAGTCTTGTTTGCACTTACGTGTAATCCCAGGGGGAGAAGGAGCGGTTCTGGATGTTCTGTGACTTGCTGACAGTAGGGCTTCCAGCTATCAAGCGAATGTCCAGCTTCACAAAGTCGCTATTATCTGAAGGAGCACAGCTTTTAAGGCTTAGCAAGGCATTGTGCCATTCTGTGAAGTTTGTCTCAGCCACCACCTCCTTCAGAAAGGCAAGCCCCAGCATCGACAGCAGCAGGGCCGAGGCCTGGAGAGGAGAGGGTGAGGCAGTTGGTTAGAGACGCCAGCGTCCTATCTGACAAGAGAGACTACACGCTGGAGGTGAACTCACGTTCCTTGGCCTTTCGTAGGATCAGAGTTTCTCCCACATCTCAGTTCCCCACCTGGAAATGGGAACCCTTAAGCCTGAAGACATCAGGGGCCAAACTGGGAACTAAACTCATGAGCCCGATGATTAAGCCCTCCACAGTCTTTAAACCGCAAGACAGAAAGACAACAGCATCCAGGAGTGAGTTCAAAGCTTATCCTGGCTTCCTTGCTGAGCTTCTGATTTCTCTTCTTTCCAACTGGATAACAGAACTTACTTCATAAAAATATTAACAAGATCAAATGGAATGTTCTATGTAAAGCACCGATAAATCTATCTTTAAAAAAAAGGCTTAATAAATGATAGCTTTCATTTTTATCTCCAACCTCATATGCCATGAATCCTCCACAAAAATCCTTTCTCCCATCTCTTCCTCCATCAAAAATACACCCGCCCCTCCTCTGTCTGTCAAAATCCTACCCTTCCATCAAGTCCCACTTCAGATGTGGTCTAATCTAGAGACTGCCCCTAACGTGGTTCAACCAGAGGTATGTTTATTATCTTTAAATCAGAAAGCTTTTACCATCTAGCACTGAAGCAGCATTTTTAAGTTGCCTGGAAACACAGTTTTGTGTTCATGTCAGATTTACACTCATTAGATTTTAAGTTCCTGCAGGAGAACTTGCTTATGGGTGTCCCATAAATACTTTCTGAATGAATGAAAAAAATGATAGTTAAACAATATAGTTAAGCTCAATGCATTAGGAAAAACCTTATGCAAAACCAACTACAGCTAAGTTCCAACTATCCATGATAATTGAAGGAGACAGGGGCACTAACAACGCTCGACAACAGGGAATACAGGAATTATTTCTCTTAAGCTCTGAAACGTACATTTATTATGTACTTAGATTGAAATAGCAATTTATCTGGTATTAACAGGAATGCACAAAAAATGAAAGTGCTCTATGAAGACATCACGGAAGAAGAGCTAAAATTCTTGCCAGCTTCCCTCTGTCATGACCACGCTTTGCTCGCCCCACCATGACCACTGTCCCTTACTGGAGATGGACAAGACCCATCACTGACTCTCAACACAGAACCAGGGCTAAAGCAATACAAAGGCATATGAAACACCCCACTGTGCGATGTTAGCATTCAACTCATGTTCCATCTTTTAGTTTCTCTATATTTGCGCTGTTATGACTGCGATTATTATTTATCCTATGTCTGGAGACTGAACATCACTGGCAAGTGTCCCAACACACAGTCTACAAAGCTTGCTGCTGGGAAAGTAAAGGCCAAGCTCCCAAGATCAGGGCGTCTAGTGACTTCTCTCGGGTTCTCTCTCAATTGGTCCCTCTGCCTGGCCAGCAAGGTCAATGCAGCCAGCTTGCCCCTGTGCCCTGCCATTCTAAGTTGCTTCCATTCTCTGGGCTTACACCCTTCATCCCTTAGGATAGGGAAGGTGATTAGATGCGCTGGCTTAAAAGGCCCTCCCCTTTACACTTTGTAGATGCTGGAGGCAAGAAATGATAAGAGTAAATAAAAAGGTCATGATATCAACTTGCTCTACTGAGGTAACTGATACTAATAAGAAATTGAAAGCAAGGTTGACCCAGATAAGCCGGTATTATCTGGGTCATTATGTGAAGGATGATTTACCTTCACATAATCAAAAGGCATCAACTAAGATGTCCCACAATCATTCATTCATTCAACTAATAGTTCTTATCTCTATAGGGTGGTGGCTCAGGGCATGAGCTCCAGAGTCAGAATTCTAAAGTCTGTAACTCAGTTCCTGGACTCTTAGAAGATGGGACTCAATTTCCTCCAAAGGAGAATGCATAAATGAGATTATATATATATATATATGTATATGTATATATATATATAGTTAGCAACATTACCAGCACATACTAATTATCAATGCCAGTGGCTATTGTTAAGTCAACAGTTTGCTAATAAAACACAGTGGACAAGATAGCAAGATAGTGTGGAATTCACCTTCACATACCTCTGTCTTTAAAAAGTGCTTTTCTTTCTTTCTTTCTTTTCTTTTCTTTTCTTTTCTTTTCTTTTCTTTTCTTTTCTTTTCTTTCTTTCTTTAATACAATCTCACATCGTTACCCAGGCTATAGTGCCATAGCCTCAACCTAGCTCATAGCAACCTCAAACTCCTTGGTTCAAGCCATCCTCCTGCCTCGGCCTCCTGAGTAACTGGGATTAGACACCCACCACAATACCCAGCTAGTTTTTCTATTTTTAGTAGAGACAGGGTCTCATTCTTGCTCAAGCTGGTCTCAAACTCCTGAGGTAAAATGATCCTCCTGCATCTGCCTCCCAAAGTGCTAGGATTATAGGTGTGAGCCACTGTGCCCAGCCTGTTTTTTTAAATGACAATTTAGATAAGAGGGTCCTTAGATAGCTTCCCAAGTCTATGTATCACATCTTTAGGTTTCTTAAGTAAATTCCTCCTTAGTGTTTTCTTTCCTCATCTGTATCATATTCACTGATCAGTTCTAATTTTCATTATCAAAGCGTTAAAGTAACTATTCCCTGGGGTTATATGATTTAGCAATAATTACCCTGCTTCTAACTAGTCATTATTATATTTGCTTACATATGTTTAGAGTATCTTAGAAACACTTTCACATCTCTTTACAATACATACTGGCTTTTCACAGCCACAGTTGCGAGGTAGACAAAGCTGGTATTAATTATCCCATTTAGACAGGTGAAGGAGTTATGTCTGAGAGGCAATAAATAACTTCAGTGGGTTCACCAGCCTCTTAATGCCAGTGGTCAATGCTATTGCCATTGAATGTCATTATTATAACTATCAACATTAATCTTAGCTTTATGTCATTAGAAGACCCAAGCATTTTAAGCAATGTGACAACTGTATCATAATTATGTAAGTATTGTAGGTCACATGGCCCTTCATCAGGAAATCAGATGATCACTGCAAATCATGCCAACTTGCTCCACAAAGCTTTGATCTGAAATTGTAGGTTTTAGTGGTAATGCAATACAGAGCAGGGGCTCTGATTAGAGTGTCAGGGAAGTTCAGAGCATTTTATAGACTTCACTGCTTCTATGCCTTCTGTAAAGGAGGTTAATAGATACTGTGCTCATTCTGTAGAGTAGGAAACAGACAAAGAAAGCAACAGCTAAAGGTGTGTGCTAACAAACAGGACACCAAACTTCCCAGCCCAGCTCTGCACCTCCCTCTAATGGAGCCCACCTGAGCACTCCAAACACCCACCCCCTGTACTTAACAATTTGTGCCCTCCCCCATGCAGAATGAACTCCAGAGCCCGGCAGCTTCCAGGTTCATGAGAATTTGACTGCACTACTTAGTGAGAATTTCCTAAGTGCCTTAACTTTTAATCCTATGCCAATGCCCTTATACTGTCATGTTTCTTGCCAACAACATAACAGATTTCTTCAAAGAAACAAGAAATAGAAATAGCTTTGCAGCACAAAGCCACTCAACAGACTTCTTTGGATTCAATGGCTAAATTCAAAAACCTCTGAACCCTTCAAAGAGCATACAGAAAACTTAGAATTCTTGCACTTACATCATCCGGGGATGTCAAATAAATCATTTAACTTAATTGGGCTTTTGTTCATCTGTATAATGGGAAAAGTAATCCCCATCTCCTTCAGTGGTGAGTGCAAAGAGAGCTTCTGGGGTATTAATATTAATATGAATAGTTAATACCTACAGAATGCTTTCTCTATCACTATCAGCTATTGTATATTAGAATGGCCAAAGTAACCAAAAACGAGGCATGCATAGATCTGACAATGTATAGTATAAATACATTTATTCTCAATCATATCATTTAATCCCCAAAATGTCATGGGGTAGATGTCATTGTTATTCCAACTGAATAATTGAAGAAAACAAGGCACAAAGAAGATTAAGGAGATTTACCCTAAATCCCACATTTGGCAAGGAGTGGGCCAGATCTGACTCCAAAGCCTATGGTCCTAAATAATAGACTTTGCTGCATTTCTTGTAATCTCTAAAATAACATATAAATATAAAATCAAAGCGTTATCACTGCCAGATGTCATGAGCCTTTTATGACATCCAAATGCTTAAGGTTGCATGGCTTGTAAAAGTAGGAAAAAAGAGGAATACTCTAAGCTAATAATATGCTACATGATTTCCTAAGCCCTAATTTGTTTATGTCTCTATATTAAATTCTTCCCAGACTTTATCTGAGTAATGCCAGGCAAAATTCCAAACCTTTGGTGAGGATAGGGGTGAAGATTTTCATCACATTAATATCCCTCTTTCCTCCAAAAGGAACTAGATGGTACAATAGAATAAATAAGTAGCAATAAGAGACATGGGAACCCTCTCTAGGAGCTGTCCAAAGTCAACATTGGATGGTTGGTTTGTTTGTGAGAGTCTCACTCTGTTGCCCAAGCTAGAGGGTTACGGCCTCAGCCTAGCTCACAGCAAACTCAAAGTCCTGGGCTCAAGTGATCTTCCTGCCTCAGTCTCCCAAATAGCTGGGACTACTGGCACCTACCACAACACCTGGCTAATTTTTTTCATTTTTAGTACAAATGATGTCTCACTCTTGCTTAAGCTGATCTTGAACTCCTAAACTCGAGGGATCTTCCCGCCTTGGACTCCCAAAGTGCTAGGATTATAGGCATGAGCCACGATGACCACCCAATACTGGGTGGTTTCACTTCTTCCATCCAAGGGATTCCTAGTCTCAGGGGAATCACTAAATCTCTTGGGACCCCAGAGGTAAAATATACATATACATATCTCCTAAAAGATTGGCTAAGTTCCCAACATTAAATATTAGTTTTGGGTGATTGGAACAGGATGCACACCTCTCACTAGTCACAAAAATGAATTCATTATGGATAAAAGACTTAAATCTAAGGCAAGAAACTATAAGAATTCT